AGATGTGTTTGAAGAGGGTGTATGGGCGGTCTCTTTATGTCGTACCTAGTTGAGTCTTAAAGTAACCTTAGGTAGAGGGTATAAATGATGTAAAGGAAGGTTTGATGAATATGGAACTAAGATTTATTTGATGGAAAGGAATCACCTAGGTGTGTGTAAAGGGGGTTGTATGGACGGCCGCTTCATATCTTACTTAGGTGGGGCTTAGGATAACCTTTAGTAGGGGATCTAAATGCTTAAATGGATTCTAAGTGATCATGGTCATATCTTGTAGATTATCTGGGTATTTTCTTATATGTGATTATTGACTTGTATTATATCTCTTAAACTCTTATGATGAAGATTTTTATCAAAATGTCATGAAAGTATATTTCTATACTAAATGTTCCTTTTTGTATTATTTTTGCATGACTTCCATATTTAGCGCATTATATGTGTAAATTTTTCTGTCAAACTAAAATATTTGACTCTCAAAAAATGAAAAATATCTCGTAAATTGAGACTGAAGTATTTAATTCACCATGATTACTTAATGAGAATTGAGGCAAGTAAAAATAATAATTTAGTATGTTATATGGAAATCACCAAGATCACAAAGGTGAAATATCACGACTTACACCTCTACAAAATTTGTCCCAAACTTTACTAAATCAACAAGTTTCAACAGAATTCGGATTACTTTTCTCGCAACAATAGGAACTAATCCTAATTCCCAAACTTCAGCAATTGATTAAATCGTCGAATCCATTTCAAATTACCCATTGAAGCTAGCTTATTAAACACATATTTAGAAAATCAATAAGTTACGATTCAATTGAACTTCCTAGTTTGCAGTAAATAAACTAGAAGACTATAAAATATATGATCCTTTGCAACAATGCACTTCTTTTTGACTTAGTATGAGTGTATCAGTGTTTGGATTGACTTAAAAGTTGGTCAAATGTATGTTTAAGTTATTTTTTAACTTCTGAAGTGTTTGATAAATATAAAAAGAGTAACTTAAAATAATTCATAAATAACTTAAAAGAAGTTATGAAGTGTTAGACAAGATGAAGAATGAGTTAAAATAAGTATAAAATGATTTAAAATAAGTCGAGAATCAAAAATATGTCTCTCCTTACTTTTTATTTTTGGGAAAAAAACAAATATACCCTCGAACTATCGTTAGTAATATGCAAATATTCTCTGTCATACTTTTCGGACATTGGCGCCCCTACAGTTCAAAAACTAGAGCATATATGTCCTTTACTCTAAAACAAGACTAAATAGGGACGTGTGACACAATTTTATCCGTCGATTTGATATTCAATAAATGTCAGGTTGGTTGATAAGATTTTTACATGTGTATGTCCGTTAGTATAAAGTGTATATATACTCTAGTTTTTGGACGGCATGGGCACCAATGTTCCAAAAGTATGACGGGGGCATTTGCATATAATTTTCGATAGTTCGAGGTGTATTTGTCCTTTTTCCCTTTAGTTTTTTACTTGAAAATTATTTCAGTTTTACTTTTTAATTTTAATTTAAAGACTAATTTTTTTAAGTCAAATCAAACGAGCTCTAACTTGAGAAATCTTTGGACTTAGCTTCTATTTTGGATATTGTCACACCTCTTCCATTTAATTATTCTTTCAATTGATGAGGATATAACAGGTTTTTAAAAAAATATTATTATTCTTTTAACTTTTAGAGTCGCCACTTGGAATTGAGTATTTTAGGTGTTCCAAGTCACCTGATAATTCTAATTTAATCTCGAGAAGAAAAAAAACTCTTTTATTTTTTGTCTACAAAAACATAGATTGGGTAAAGATTTATATTGACCGGAGGGAAGGTGCGAGGCACCCCCTCAAGTCCTGTGGTTCTAGCACGATCGCTTTATTAACTTATTTTTGGCTGCAAAAATTTTTTTAAAAAAAATACTGCATTATTTACTATATTTTTTTTGAAAAAAAATGATTGACCTAGGAACGCAACCGCAGACAAGATATTTCTTTAGAAAAAACTATACATCAAGGATCGTAACCGAACACATAATGGTTTTTAATTATTTTTAAAATAAATAAATAAATAATAAAATTTAAAAAAAATAATTCATTAGTCAAAAAAATATTTATTTGTTTTTTAAAAATACAAAATAATGATAAAAATGAATTATGAATATGTTGCAACATAAAGACAACAAGATGATTAGTATGTTTTTTAATTTTTAGTGTTTATATTTTTTTTTACCCAAAAGAAAACAAATAAACAATCAAGTTTTACTACTAAACAGTAACAAAAAAAATTCTCTTACAAAATAGTAATTAAACACACTTTTAAAACTAGAATACCTCATTTAATCATTCAAGAAAGGGCACCAACTTTAGGATTACCGATCCTAGACTTTAATTCATTCTTACATTCATTCATACTTAACAAGGGTGCCTAAGCCTACCAAGTCAAGAGATCACATATTAAACTAACTTTCATGTATTAGAAGAGGGACCTATATCTACCAATCAAGGCACATCATCATGATTATCATTTTTCTTATATCATTCAAGTACCATGTAGGGGCAACTAAGTCTACCCACACAAGATACAACATCATTCTATAAGGACACTTCTTAGTCCTTCATTACAATATAACAACAATTAGAGAAAAATCATAACATGTTAGCATATTGCACAGAATTCAGACTGGAGCGTATTGCTCGAAGCTCTTGCATTGAGACAAGAATGTGAGTAGCATGAGATGAAACCCCAAACATGTGAAAATTTTGAAGAACAATAAATTTTTGTAATGTTATCTTTTTATCTTGAAATCTTCCATTTTCTTTTCTTCCTATGTTGAGCAAATGAAAAAGAAAATTGTTTAGTTTAAAGTGGTGATTGGTTTGTGACCTTGATGCTCCAACGATTTGACCATACTCCCGACCAATTTCTCCAACTCTACTCCAAATCAGAGGCCTTGGTCTTTTTTGTACTACCAAATATCATGGTGCGACTGATGTCCCAAAATATGATAAATTAAGAGACTACATCATGTTTCTTCACGAATTTTCAGTAAAGACCTTAGGTGTTTTTAGTCCTTGCTCAATGGCATGTCAACTCATATACTCAGCTTTACTTTTGGGAACCCATAGTAAGCTTCGCAATCTATACTTTATTTTGTCAAGAGATTATATTGAAAAGACTAGAAAAATATCAAACTTAAGAGTATGAAAGATTGGATCAAGAGGACTATAAACTTAAGGAAGGACATTCCTTTTTAAAGGAAAATGAGAAAGGGAACTAATTTGGAGGTATATGTCGACTTTGACTGAACCATGACATGCATTTGTACTTAACCCCTGATCCGTTTGAGTTCTTTAGTTCTCAAAATTTGAGTCATAATCAATTGATCTATGTGCCCTTCATGCAGAGGTGTCGAGAAATGATTATCTTTGCAAAAAATTTTCAATGATGGTTTCTCCCTTTATATTAAGGTGTCTCTAGGATTTTCACCTATAAGATCTTTTTCTTTGTCATCTTATGGTGCCTATGAAGGTTTTCACCAATAAGACTCTTTTTTTTTTATGATCAAAATCATTCTTAGAATTGATCAAAATGTAGGCTGCTAGAATAAACAGAATTACAATCTGACATTAAAAATGAAAAAAATGCCCCAGTTTTCTATAGATACTGGAAAGCTGATTATTTATTTTGATTATTTTTTGTATGACCAAACCCCGAAGGGGTTGCCTACATATCCTTTCGGAATCAGGTCAAACGTAGTTCAGAAACTTCAATGAGAGGTTTTTTTTTAAAGAGGTGCCTTTGTTATTTCAACCCCAAACTTGTTGCAGTACCTTAGAATACGTTAGATGTAGTATCTTTTGACTGAATCTGCATTAACAATTATGCCTGTGATTTTTCCGTCCACATCAATAAGGTGCAAGGCTCCTTTGGACAATACTTCCTTGATAAGATATGAACCTTGTCAATTTGGGGCAAACTTTCCCTTGGCTTCTGCTTGGTGCGGGAGAATGTGCTTTAAGACCAGTTGACCTACTTCAAAGTGTCTTAGGTGCACCTTTTTGTTGTATGCACGAGCCATCCTTGCTTATAAAGCTGACCAAAATAGATAGTTGTCAATCGTTTCTCGTCTATTAATGCAAGTTGCTCTAGTCGGGTTTTGACCCATTCAGTATCTTCAATTTTAGCTTCAACAATAAATCGAAGAGATGGAATTTAAACTTTCGATGGAATCACAGCCTCATTTCTATACACCAATAAATAAGGATTTGCACCAATCGAGGTGCGCACTATTGTGCGATATCTTAAAAGTGCAAAAGGCAACTTCTCATGCCATTGTCTAGTGCCTTAAACAATCCTTCTGAGAATCTTTTTGATATTCTTGTTGGCTGCCTCCACAGCTCCGTTGGCTTTTGTTTGGTATGGATTAGAATTATGGTGCACAATTTTAAACTGCTCGTATACCTCCTTCATCATATTTCTATTGAGGTTTGAGCATTATCTGTGATAATAGCTCTTGGGATACGAAATCGACAAATGATGTTTGAATGGACAAAATCCACGACCGTTTTCTTAGTGACTGCTTTTAAAGTGATCGCCTCCACCCATTTGGTGAAGTAATCAATTGCGGCCAAAATCAATTGACGTTTATTAGAGCCTTTTGGCTCAATTGATCCGATGACATCCATTCCCCATGCAACAAAGGGCCAAGGAGAAGTCATGGGGTGCAACTCTGAATGAGGTGAATGAATGAGATCACCATGAATTTGACATTGGTGAGATTTTTTCACAAAGCGAAATCAATCCCTTTCCATGGTAAGCCAAGAATACCCCGCCCGGAGTATCTTTTTTGCAAGGACAAATCTGTTCATGTGTGGTCCACATACCCCAGTGTACACTTCATTCATGATCTTCTCGTCTTCTTCAGCATCCACACATCTTAAGAAGTTCATATACGGAGTTCATTTATACAAAACATCTCTGCTCAAAAGGAAACCATTAACCAGACATCTAACAGTTCTTTTTTGGCTTCCAATGGCATGTTCAGGGCATCTCCCTGTCTTCAAAAAATTCTTAATGTTTGAGTACCATAACTCACCATCTGGTTCTGCTTCCACTACATTATAATAGACATGTTGGTCCCGAACTTGAATATCCAATGGGGTGATGTAAGTGTTTCCAAGATATGGAATCATTGAGGCCAACGTAGCCAAGGCATTGGAAATTTATTATGAAACCTGCGGATGTATCTAAACTCGATGGACCTAAACCTTTTGCTAAGATCTTCCACACATTGTATGCATGGAAGAAGTTTGAGGTCTTGAGTTTTCCATTCGCCTTGAGCTGGTCGATATGCAAATCAGAATCTCCCAACACAATCAATTATTGCACACCCAGATCTATTGCCATATTTAGACTCATGAGGAAAGGTTCATACTCAGTCCTATTATTTGTACAAAATAAATGAAGTCGAGCTGTTGCAGGGTAATGGTGCCTTATGGGCGATATTTAAAATTCCCCAATCCCTGTGCCTTTTGCGTTGGTTGCTCCATCAAAGTACAATTGTCAGGCCTGATTTTCATATGAACCTACTTCTTCAATTGAGTTAATCTATTCATCTGGAAAATATGTATCCAATGGTTCGTAATCACCATTGACTGGGTTCTCTTCCAAGTGGTCTGTCAAAGCTTGGGCTTTCATTGCAGTGGAGTGACATATATAATGTCGAATTAGTGAGCAAAATTTGCCATTTTGCAAGTCTGACAGTTGGCATTGGCTTCTGAAATATATACTTCAAAGGATCCATCCTTGATATGAGGTAAGTTGTGTACGATAAAGAGGTAATGCCTTAACTTTTGAGCTACCTAAGTCAGGGTGAAACACGTCCTACCCAAAGGGGTGTACTTGACCTCATAACTAGTGAATTTCTTGCTCAAGCAGTATATAGTTTGCTCCTTCCTGCCTATGGAATCGTATTGACCAAGAACACACCCAAAGGAATTGTCTGTCACTGAAAGATATAGAAAGAGAGACCTATCAGGTTCTGGCGGGACCAACACGAGAGGGTTGGACAAATACTCCTTGATTGTTTCAAAACCTCGTTGACAATCTTCTATCCATTTGACAGCAGCATCCTTCTTTAAAAGTTTGAAAATTGGGTCACAAGTGGTTGTGAGTTGTGCAATAAACCTGCTGATGTAGTTCAACCTTCGAAATAGACTTATGACTTTAGTTTTATTTTCGGGGGTGGCAAATCCAAAATAGCTTTTATTTTGAAAGGATCCAATTCAATTCCCATTCTACTGATAACAAAACCCAAAAGTTTTCCAGATGGAACTCCAAATGCACATTTTGCTAGATTAAGCTTGAGATCATATCTTTGCCCACTTACCAAGAATTTTCTCAGATCTTGCACATGATTAGCTTGTGTTTTAGACTTGATGATTACGTCGTCGACATATACTTCAATTTCTTTATGCATCATATCATGAAACATGGTGTTCATAGTTCTCATGTAAGTTGCCCCAGCATTTTTAAGACTAATTGGCATGACCCTATAGCAATAAGTCCCCCATGGAGTGGTGAAAGCAGTTTTCTCAGCGTCCTCTTCATCCATCAAAATTTGATGATACCCCGCATAGCAGTCCACAAAAGATTGAATCTCGTATTTTACACAATTATCAACTAGAATGTGGATATTATGCAAGGGAAAGTTGTCCTTTGGACTAGCCTTATTCAAATACCGATAATTAACGCAAACTCTTGTTTTCCATTCTTTTTTTGGCATAGGAACAACATTTCCCAACCAAGTAGTGTAACTAATAGCTTGGATCACATTTGCATTCAGTTGTTTCATGATTTCTTCCTTGATTTTTTACTCACGTCCGGTTTGAATTTCCTTCTTTTATGTTGGATGGGTGGAAAATCAGGATAAGTGGGAAACTTGTGAACCACTAAATCAACACTCAAACCTGGCATGTCATCATAAGACCAAGCAAACACATCTTTGTATTCTAACAAAAGTTGTATTATGGCCTCTCTAATTTCCTGATTGATATGCAAACTTATTTTTATTTTTTTAACATCCTCAGTACTTCCCAAATTGATTGTCTCAGTTTCACTAAGATTAGGCTTAGGTTTGTGCTCAAACTATTTAAGTTCCCTATTAATTTCCCTAAACACCTCTTCTTCTTCATATTCAACCTCTTGACTTGGTGATTCAAGAATAAACAACTCTTTGAAATCTGGAAGTGAATTCCTCATGCATGTCATGCTATCAAAGTTGGCATTTAAAGAACTGAAAAATAGAGAATAAGAATTAACGGAGATAAAAAGACAAAATTTACTATGAAACTGGAAATTCATTTCATTGAAATCAAAAAAGGGACCAAAGGGTTGACAATAACAAAATACTTTGAACTATTCGGATCACAATCCTGACAATAACAAAATACAAAAGAATAGCAAAACAAACTACCACGACTCCTTCCTTATGGGGTAAGGATTGGCTTTCCAATTGCTTAGCTCAACACCTGAGCCCACGAGCTGTACATCGGCACGACTTGTACCTTCACCAACTTGGACCATATTTATTTCACAAAACAACTGATTGAGATCCTCAATATCTTCTTCAATGTCTTTAAGAGTGAATGAATCTTTCATTTCAGAACCTTGATGTTTGATAAAAGAATGAGAAATATGGGGAATCAGTTGCGGAAACGCACAATCAATCCTTTTGTGGTTTTTAGCCTTATCTCTATTTCTCTTGCTTTGTTTGTATACGAGGCCAAAGGTGCCTTGGTTTCCTAAGAGAGTAACGGGATCCACGATTCCATGCGAACATACTCACAAATCTTTACCGGGTAGATAACCATATTTGAGAATTGTTGTTGCTACCATTGAAGCGGAAGAAGAGAGACATGATTGGATGATAGGTTCTCCTTTTTTAAAGTGATTGACTGATATGACCTCAAAAGACTGGTCGACAACGGAATCACATCCTTATTTTGCCTTCTACATATGGGATGGATGGATCTTTGTAAATAGGTGAATCATCTTCCCCATGAACAATGATTTCCTGATGGTTGTATTGAAACTTGACAACTTGATGTAGAGTTGATGGGATGGCCCGAGCCATGTGGATCTATGGCCATCCTAGTAGAAAATTATAAGATGTTTCCATATCCATTACTTGGAACACAATCATAAAGTCCACTGGCCCAATTGTCATGTTAAACTTTATTTCACCAATGGTATCCCTCCTTGAGCCGTCATAAGCTCGAACAAATACATTACTGGCGAATTCTGTCAAGGTTAACTTTCAAGCTTGTGTCGAAAGAGGGCATATGTCTACCCCTGATCCTCCATCTATCATGACCCTTTTTACATAGTAACCTTCACATTTCACTGTAAGAAGTAAAGCTTTGTTATGTCCAGCTCCCTCCTTGGGCAACTCATCATTAGTGAATGTGATGGTGTTTGACTCAAAGATGCGGTTAGCCATTTTCTCCAATTGATTTATTGTGGTCTCTTTTGGAACATGTGCTTCATTCAAAACCTTATTCAACACACAAAGATGTTCTTCTGAGTGCAAAAATAGAGACAACAGTGAAATCTGTACAGGGGTCTTCTTCAAATGTTCCAAAATAGAATAATCTGGAACCTTAAGCTTTTTTAGAAATTTTTCATCTTCTTCCTCAGTAGCTGCTTTCTTTAGTGGTACTTGGATATTTTGAGTCATCTTCCCTTTCCTCAATTCTTATGGAGAAAAACATCTTCTGGAATGCGTCAAACCTCCTACTTCATCAACTTCTTTGACAATCTTTTTTCCTCGATAAACCACCGCGATTTTGTTATAGTTCCAAGAGATAGTGTTTGAATCAGTTACCGGAAGTTGTTGGACGAGCTTAAACAAGAGAGGCTCTTTCTACTTGGTCAATCAACTTTGGTAACGTTATGTTAATGAAAACCCTTTTGATACATACCTTTGGCATAATCGCTTGAAATTCAATCGCCTTAGAAACCCCCGGGACGCACAAGACTTTGGTGCCAAGATTTACACTTTCCACACTCAGAGATGCAGCTAGTTCTAAACTCTTTATCAACTTCTCTTCCTCTCCGATCTTCCTAAACAACTTTCCCATTTTGCGGAGGATTTTGTACTCTTGATCATCACAAACCATACCCACTAAGTTATTTTGAGCTGGAAATGGGTAATTGGTCACATTGGGAGTGTTTTTATCATCTGCCACAATGACAAATCCATAATCGATTAGTTTCTCTATCGCCCCCTTCAAGGTCTAACAATTATCAATCTTGTGTCTTGGGGCCCCTGAATGGTACTCATATGTTTCATTGGCTTGGAAACCTGGAGCATTTGGATTCAGACGATATGGTGAGATACACTCAATCACTACTATCTTCCTCAACTTTTGAAACAAGCTGCAGTAAGATTCTCCCAATGGAGTGAATTTCCTTTTCTGTGCTTGCTCTTGAGTATATTTTTGCATAAGAGGAAGGTTGTAAGGGACCTGATAGGGCGGTCATTGCGGGCGAAGGTTTCCTTGAGTTGGGGCCCAAAAATGCGGGCGACTGGGAGGATGCACATGTGCATTGAAGACCATGTACGGAATGAAGGAACCGAATACTAAAGAGCATAAAGAGAGTAATGCTAAGGATAGATAGGTTGTCCCTGAACCGCTGGGTAAGGACAATTAGAATTCCTCTGAACACCCCTTGACCCTGATGCTAAAGAAACAACTTCCTCTTCTTCTTTTTTACGATTTCCAGAACTTGTTGAACCACCTTGAATGGCCTATGTGGTAGATTTGATTGCTGCTTGGCTCACGATCCTTCTTATTTTGAGACCACTTTCAACCATTTCCCCAATTTTGATTATTGTGTGAAACGGTCCTCCTATTGCAGCTATGAGGTGGTGGAAGCAGTCAGGATCTTAAGCTTCTATGAAGATATTAACCAATTCTTGCTCATTTAACGGGGGCTTGACTTGGGCTGCTTGTTCCTCCAGTTGATAGCATATTCTCTGAAGCTTTCACTTGGCTTCTTTCTTGTATTGGAGAGTGTATTGCGAGCTGGCATAATGTCGACATTGTACTGAAATTGTCTAACAAAATATTGAGTCATATCATCCCATATGTGCCTGTGGGTGATATCTTGGTCTATAAACCATTCTGAG